TGGCAAAATTAGCAAGATTCATTATGGAGATATTATGGACAGGGTTAACAACAGACTTCAGGGTTGGAAAAACAATGTCTTTCTATGGCTGGGAGAGTCACTTTGGCGAAATCTGTGTTGTCAGCCATGCCTATGTTTCATATGCAAAATAGCCTTCTCCCTAGGGGTCTTTGTGATGACATTGAGAAGCTCCAAAGGAGCTTTATTTGGGGTGATTCTGATACAAAAAGAAATTTCCATGCTGTTAATTGGGAGCAGCTTAAGCTTTCAAAGAATCAGGGGGGTTTAGGAATCATTGATCTCAAAGTTCAAAATGAAGCTTTTCTTCAGAAATGTGCTTGGTCAATCATTCAGTCTCCTTCTCATCTTTGGGTAAAAGTGCTGACGTCAAAATATGGTAGGAAGAAAGATCTTTCGAAAGAGACCATCTTCAAACCTTATGATTCTCATCTCTGGAAGAGCCTTTGTAAGATATGGCCTGCCATGTTAAACAACCTGAGTTGGCAGATTGGTAATGGTAAAAGTATAGCCTTTTGGACAGATAATTGGACTGGGCTAAGTTCCAATCTTCTTTCTTTTGCTACTGCTCCCCCTATAGCCGAAGACACTGTTCTAAAAACTAATCACAGTAACTTTGTTTCTGAGGAGGGTTGGAACATTCGTTATTTAGATCTTCATTTTGACAGTGATGTGGTGAACTGTATTTTGGCTATACCTCATCCTGTGGTTGATGGAGAAGATGATTTTCTGATGTGGAAGAATTGGAAACCTGGTCTTTCTGTTGTCAAAATTGCGTATAGTAATTGGAGTTTAGCTAATTCTACCACCCCTAATGGCTGTTGGAATCGAATTTGGAACTGGAAAGGGAAGGAGAGGGTCAAATTTTTCATGTGGAAGTTATTACATGAAAGATTGCCAACCAAGGAGATTACTGCCAAGTGGAGTGGTTCTCCGAATTGCTGCCCTTCTTGTCTTGATAAGGTAGAATCTTGCCTTCATGTTTTCAGAGATTGCCAGAAAGCACGTAAGGTTTGGTTTCTTCCTTTTTTCCACCCTCTTCCAACTGACTTCTTTAGTTCGGGTTCTTTTAAGGATTGGATGGCTTTTAATCTACTTTATAGTAACAGCAAAAGGAGGGATTGGAGGGATTTTTTCTTTAATACATGCAACTTACTGTGGACTTGGAGAAATAAGGATCTTCATGAAGAGAATTTCAAAAGAATGGATAATCCTTCCTCTATTCTTGCTGACTTAATAGAGGAAAGAAGGTTCTGCATCACAAAAGGTTCTCATATTTGTGCTGGTATTCTGCCTAATCCCATCCAATCTGTTTGGATAGTTCCTGCGCAAGGTTTTCTAAAGCTAAATGTTGATGGTGCTGTCCTTGGTGGTAAAGCTGCCTGCGGTGGTCTCTTGAGAGACAGTAAGGGCGTTTGGGTTAGTGGTTTCACTGCTTTTATAGGTTCCTGCTCCCCCTTGCAAGCAGAACTTTGGGCGATTTTTAAAGGTTTAGTTTGTGGTTGGAACTACGGTTGGAAGAAAATAATGTTGGAGTCAGATTCATTACAAGCTATTAGCCTTCTTACCATATCTGGTAATGATACTCGAAAGCTTCCTTTGGTAGCTAAGATTCGAGCCTTACTAAACAAGGATTGGACTGTGTTATTGGGTCATGTTCCTAGGAGTTGTAATACTTGTGCTGACTGCTTGGCAAAATTAGCTTTGGATGACCCCCCTGGCCTCACGTTTCTATCCTCTCCTCATAGTGAGCTTATCAACATGCTTGCAGCAGATCTTCTAGATCCAGGCTTGGAAGGATCTGTGTTTTGCTGATGGCTCTGTGTTTAGTTTTCTTGTTGCAGAGCTGTTTCTTTTCTTTCTGCTTTAGTTTGCTTTACGAGTGACACTATAGGGAGGTGTTTGGTATGACAATTTTTATTTTTTTTTTACCCGAAACTCAAGATTTTCGGCAATATGGTAGAAATTTTTTTTCTTCAAGAATATTATCAAAAAGTTGTTTGATATGAATCAATTTTCCCGGGAATGTTGAGTTATTTTTCTGATATGTTTGGTTGATTGTAAAATATTATTGGGAATGTTGAATGAAATTATAAAAATATCTACTTGTTTGAATACATCGTCTATTTAATCGTTTCCCTAGGTAGGGCAATTTCGTTCAACAATTTGCTTTATCGTTTTCCAAGTGTAGGAAAAAAATTATACCGAGCTTAGACACTTTAGCAGGGGGAATAGGCTCATTTCCTGTACAGTTGCCCTTCTACCATTGTGTACAATGCGGCATCCTTAACCAACTTCCGAGCTTCCTCCTTTTGGGGGGGAGCATCCTGTTTTCTATGTAATCAATGATGGTGCCACGCCAATCGTTTCCTTCGGTTATCTGCATGACACATGTAGGTTCTGGGATACTCTGCTCAACCACCGTTCTAAGGTTTCCCCAACCTTTAGTGCTTGGTAGCTTTGACAATATGTCAGCCCTGCTATTTTCATTCCTTGGAATATGACTGACCTCCACTTTTTCGAACTCCGCTATTAACTGCCTTGCGGAATCCAAGTATTTTGCCAACAACGGTCCCGTAGCTTGGTAGCTGCCTGCAATCTGGGAGGTGACCAGTTAGGAATCACTATAGATTTGTAGTCTCCTTGCTCCGAGCTCCTTGGCCTGCTGAAGCCCGGCTATGAATGCTTCATATTCTGCCTGATTGTTTGATGTTTCAAAGTTCATTTGCATGGAGTATTCAACCGAAACCCCTTCCGGGTTCTCAATAATTACCCCGGCTCCGCTACCTTTGGAGTTTGAGGACCCATCCACATAGATTTTCCAGGTTTCTGGGTTTGTTGAGCTCTCCTTTTGGATTGAAGTAAGCTCCCTGATAAAATCTGCCAATGCTTGAGATTTGATTGTGTTTCAGCTTTCGAAAGCTATATCAAATTCTGATAATCCCACAGCCCAAGCCATAATTCTTCCTGCTAAGTCAGGCTTATGCAAAATTTGCCGAATTGGCAAGTCTGACTGACTACAATCTGGTGTCCTTGGAAATATGCTCTAAGCCTTCTAGCCGAGATTAGTAAGGCGAAAGCAACCTTTTCTAACTTTTGATAACGGAGCTCTACTCCCTCAAGATCCGACTTACGAAGTAAATCGATTGTTGCCCCTCCTCATTTTCTTGGACCAGGACCGAGCTAACAGCAACATCTCCCACAGAAAGATACATTATCAATGGCTCCCCTTCTCTTGGAATAGATAAGACTGGTGGTGATGCCAGTTGCTTTTTAATTTCTTGGAATGCCGCCTCATATTCCGAAGTCCAGCCATATTGCACCTCCTTTCGTAACAGTTTGAAACAAGGTAGTGCCGTTTCTGCAGACCGAGGTAAAAACCTAGTGAGGGAAGCTAGCTTTCCAGTCAACTGTTGGATCTCCTTTTTGCTATCCGGGGCCTTCATTTCCAGCACGGCTCTGCACTTGTCCGGGTTAGCTTCTATGCCCCTGTGAGTCAGCATGAATCCTAAGAATTTTCCTGCAAGGACTTCAAAAGCACATTTAGCTGGGTTTAACCGAATGCTGTGCTACCGCAGTTCGTTAAAGGTCTGCTCTAGATCTTCAATGTACATTGCTGAATTAATCGATTTGACTATCATGTCGTTTATATATACCTCCACATTCTTGCCGAGCTGATCCGCAAATACCTGATTCATCATTTTTTGGTAGGTGGCCCCCGAGTTCTTCAATCCAAAGGGCATCACATTATAATAATAGTTTTCCCTCTCTGCGATTAAAGCATTTTTCTCTTGGTCTTCAAGGTGTAGTGGGAACTGGTTATACGGCGAATATGCATCCATGAAGGATAACATCTGGAACCTGAATGAGTTGTCAACGAGCTGATCTATATTGGGCATGGGGTATGCATCTTTGGGACATTCCTTATTCAGGTCAGTGTAGTCCGTACACACCCTTCATTTCCCATTTGGCTTTTTAACCATCACCACATTAGATAGCCAGGTTGTGTATTGTATTTCTCTGATGAATCCTGCTTCCAGCAACTCCCTCACATGATCTTCCTGTACTTGCCGACGTTCCGCGTTGAGCTTCATTTTCTTCTGGGCTACTGGCTTAGATCCCGGGTATACTGCGAGCTTGTGACAACAAAAATGAGGGTCCACTCCAAGTATCTCTGAGGATTTCCAAGCAAAGACGTCCACGTTCCTTCTTAGGCACTCAGTAAGTCAAATTTTGTCCTCATTCGCCAGCCCCTTTCCGATTTTGGCAGCTTGAGTTTCTTCTCCAATGACTACCTCCTCCAGCTCTCTATCGGGTTCCGGCCTCGGGATCTGAGTTTCATCCCTCATGTCCAACTCCACCAAGTTAATCGATGTTGTTCCCTTCTTCCCCGAACTATCCTGCTTATTATTGGGGTTCACCCCGGCAGGAGTCTTAAGATTATTTCCTACTGCTCTAACTGACTTAAAATAGCTGTCCCAAGATTCTTTTTGATCCCCAGCAATGGTGATGACCGTTTTATGCTTATCGATCAACTTGAGCTTCTGATGCTTGGTGGAGACCAGCATATCCCAATCGTGGATAGTTGGCCTTCCCAGAATTACGTTATACTCCGACGGGAAGTCAGCTACTATGAATCTTACCATTTCCGACTTGTAGGCCTCCTTTGTTCCCATGGTAAGCCTCAGGTCAATGTACCCCTTAGGGATAATATCACGACCATTGAATGCAATCAAACCCGTGTTGCAGGGTTTCAAATCTTCCACATCCAGGTTCATTTTCTGGAATGCCTGCCACAAAATTATGTTGGCACAACTGCCGTTATCCACAAATATTTTCTTGACTTTACAGTTGACTAATGTACCGGTGATAACTAACCCGTCAACGTGTCCCGGCATGACGTCCTCTAACTCTTTCTTAGTAAAAAATAGTAGTGGTGCTTCCGGTTCGGCTTCTTTAAACTTAGGTCGCTCTCGTATTGAAAGCACCTCTCTTAAGTACTTCTTCCTGGCATTCATGGTATCACCTCCTCCACCAAAACCCTCGCTAATAACATTGCATTCAAATTCAAGTTCTATGAATTCATCCTCTTCTTTGGCCGGCTTCTTACCTCGGCCCTCATCCCTGAACTTCTTTTCCCGGGACGGGCTGGCAAATCGTCCTCTCCTCTTCTTATTATTCTTCCATCCCTGAGTTCTTATCAAATACTGACGCAACTTTCCTTCTCTGATATATCTTTCAATTGCGTCTCTAAGATCCCAGCATTCATCGGTTGTGTGACCAGGGCCATCGTGGAACGCGAAATATCGAGACTGGTCCAGACTGGCTGGATTCAGTAATGGCCGTTGCCTATCCACCCTTTTCATTTCGGTGGATGCTACCTCCCTCCAAATTTGGGATCTGGACGAATTCAGAGGTGCATATCTGTCAAATCTTACTTTTGTTGAAACTTTCTCTTCTGGCCTTTTACCCCGGAAATCATTTTGCCTTCGATTTCCAAGTTTTTCCATCTGGCCGTGGTGTTGCCTTGGGTTTGCGTTTTCAATCTCCATATGTTCGAGCTCCAAATATTTTTTGGACCGTGCAGTGAACTCAACTAGAGTTCGGACTGGGTCTTTGTATACGGATTTAGCCAACCTGGAGGACTCGTGTAGGCCGGCGATGACCAAATGTAAATGAACATTCTCAGATAGCCCGGGAACTTGTAAGGCGGCCATTTTGAAGCGGTCCAAATACTTCTGCAAGGTTTCACCGGGCTGTTGCTTTATTTTTCCCAGTGCAAATTCGGACTTCGGCTGTTTTTTACTCGTAGCAAAATTCAGCAAGAATCTACCTCCGAACTCTTCAAATGATCTGATGGATCCTGCCGGTAGAGATGAAAACCATGATTGAGCTGCTCCTGTCAGCGTGGTTGCAAATAGCCGGGTTATTAGTGGCTCTTCAATTCCCTTAATGTACATTGCCGTATCAAAGGCATCCAAATGCACTTGGGGGTCTTGCGTCCCGTCGTATTTTGGAATTTCAAATAAGTTGAGGTTCTCTGGAAATGGTGCATCCACGATCTCGTCCACGAAGGGGCTGTCATTGTGTTGCCCCCTGTGATACTTCCTCCTATAGACCCCGGATACGTCATTCGGGTTTGGGTTTCGGGATGGGCGTCTCCAATCAGAAGATTGGGGGTTCTCTCCCAGCCTTTCCGGTTGTCCTACGACGTTGTTTTGAACTTCGGGTCCTTGATTGTGAACCACGTTGGGTATGCTCCTTTGAGGCCGGCCTTCGACATTTCCAATTCCTCTCACCCGAGTCCGGGTCCCATCAGGGTTCGCCTGGGTGTTTGAGATCCGCAGGTCATTCATGACCCGTGTTATAGCTCGTTTCGGGTTCGGGTTTGAGGCTCGTCCTACTCGAGCCTCCAGCTCTCGCATCTGTCTGGCACCCTCCTCCCTTTCAAGTCCGTGTCTTCGCTCCATCTCTTCCATTCTCCAGAGTACCGCAGCAACGCCAGATCTGTCACTCGAGAATCACCAACTAAACCATTTGGTACCTGCACAGCATCCACCATTTGTTCCTCCATTGGTTGTAAACCTTGCACGTACGGGGCATCCGGATTGACGGCTGGGGTCGATGCCGAATCGAAGTGCACATCACTAACGTGCACTGCATCGGTATCTATCTGCCGATGATCCAAAGGAATCTTCCTGATTGGGGAGATAGGCTGGATTCTGGAATTCGATCTTGATGGCTGTCGAAATTCACTTCTTGTTGTCCTCACCATCGTGGCTTTTAACCAAGTGGTCGTGGGTTCGTGTTCCCCACAGACGACGCCAATGTTTCTGCCTTGGGCAGATGTGTCCGACCGTAGGTCGGGTATTTGATGTTGGATCTAGGGCTCTCTCTCTCTCTAGAAACCTATCAATTAGGTATCTCGGAGACAGCGAATCACCACACACTATATAATGGCTGCAGCCTGAAGGGGTGTGTGTGTACACTGTCGTGATTGCATAAAATAGGGTTAGAGAGATCAGCCATACCTGTGGTCTTTAGCTCCTATTTATAGAGTTTACCTTTGGGCTTGTGTTGGTTGGGCTTCTTGTAATCGTGGGCCTTTCCTCAGTCCATAACACATGTATTTTTTTCACTTCACATATTCTAAAGAAGAAAACCTTGGTTTGCGAGTTATGGAGACGATAAGGGGTAGTAAAATTGGATGCTATGGATCATGTCAATTGTCAAGTAACATCATCTTGTGAATTTGTGCATCGTTTTTGGCACAATAAAACAAAAAATGTGCGCTGGAATAGGTACAACTCAGTGCCTGCTGCGATTATTCTAGCAAGAAACCAGTTGCACCTAAAATAATGCGCAACTAGTTGTATTAGTTTTGTAAATATTGTATAAATTGATTTAATTATATTTCATAATTTTTATTTAAAATACAATACCTTTTTTTTTCTCCATTATGCTCGGACTGTATATTCAGATACTATGTTAACATCAAAATCATATATTATTATAAAAAATTAAAATATATTAAGACTTATTGTTATCGGTATATGATCTATTATTTTATTTTTCACGAGTAATTTAATAGTAACCAAACTTATAGAAATACTTAGCCGGCGTTAAAAAATTAAAAAAAATTAGTGTAGTAACCAAACTCATAGAAATACTTAGCCGGCATTAGAAAAACAATAAAAAATTAGTATACTCATCTCCATGATTGCTTCCAAACAATTTTAAAGAAATACACATCCTCAATTATGCATAAGAGTAATATTTTTATACCACTAGAACAATTTTAATTTATATAAATAGTTGTACATATATTCTATATTTTAGCATTAAAATAGAATTTTCATTGCAACTGTTTAAAATTTATTTCAAAAACATCAATGTCGCACGCGTACAAAAGTTATTTTTCCAAAAATCGCTATATTTATATTGTTGCCAAAAAATTAAAGAAAACAAAGAACTTTCCACACAAAATAAAACTTAGAACCACGAGATCGCTCGGCTATTAATCTTTTATATTTCTAAATAAAAGAATGATGTTATAAACAATTTAATTGTTGCTTGTCCAAACCATTATTAACCGTTATGACCGTTAGATAACTAATTGTAGTTATTATGTCTTTCATATTTTCTGAGCTTATAAATAAGACATGTATAAAACATTATGGAAGTACTACAATATAGAACAAGAATTCATTCCCCTTTTTCTCTTATCTGTATAATCTTCTTTCGCAATACGTTATCAAGCACACCAAAAAAAAAAAAAAAAAAAAAATTGCATTCCGGAAGTGATCTCGTGGATAGTTCATTCTATTTGCTTCCTCTCTATTCATTCTTTATCAATCTGATTTATTTTATTTGATTTGTCAAATGTCAACCACTGTAGATAATGGATCAATAGACGTGCATATGGGTGTGATTTGTTTATTTTTATTTTTTTTCTTTATCAATCTTGTATATTCAACAAAGAGACAACTTTATATTCACGATGATTCTTTCTGCTTTTGATATATATGTTTATAACTTTATCTATTCACGATGATTCTATTTTTTTTTATTTTACTGTTTTTTTTTTAAAGGACATTTTTGCCTATGTTATGGACTCATATAATGGACCCATTAAGTGGTAAGTCCAACAAGAGGCAATTCAAGATACGGATTGATATTAACAAGGGATAGATATCCATCAAGGATACTAATTCTAATACGACAGCATAGCAAGCAAGCATGGGCCCTCACCAGAGGCAACAAAGGCCTATCCACACTACCCACAGGTAACCTCTATAAATACAATGTAAACCCTAAAGGTACGGTACGCTCTCTCTCTTACTGTTATGCTGTCACTGTGCGCACACACACCCCATTGGCTAACGCCGTTATAGTATTCTGTGCACAGTGATCTGCTTGACTCAAGGGTATCTCATTAATAGATACCTTGGAAAGGGCACTAGATCCAAGATAAACGCACCAGCCTATTGGGCTGGACATCTCTGTCTCAAGGACGAAACATTGGCGCTGTCTGTGGGGATTTCATCTTCATTGAATTGGAAGTCCCCACTAACCTGACAAAGGATGGCAATCCAGACAAGGAGTAGTAGCCAGCAGCCACCCCAGAACCAGAATCAACTGTTGGATCCGATTCTGGAAGTGGTAAATCAGCCTCAGAACCAGATCAGAAACAACGTGGACTATGACCATGTCCAGGTTGAGGATGACGTATCAGACACCGCGTCTACTCCAGCGCGTCGAGACAGGGGGGCTGATGCGATTATGGCTCCAATAAGGAACAACCCTTCCCAGCACCCAGGAGATCTTGCTGCCCGTATTGCCCAATCAGCCGATCCGGATACTCGGTTGGCTAACAACGCATTTGCTGCGATCATGTGTAACATCCCGAGTGTTGACAATTGTATGGTTAGTGGAAGAGCTAATGTACAATTGAATGTATGGTTAGTGGAAGAGCTAGTGTACTATCAGCGGGAGGGGTACATGAATGAATCGAATAACACCAGAAAGAGAGGGATTCCAGAGATTGTGCTGGTATAAGATAGCACATCTGAGGATAGCTTATAAGAATTAATTGGTACTACCTATACCAACAAGATGCATCTACTTTTCGGTAGCCCGGATCGGAAGAACTCCACAGTTAAGCGTGCTTGACTTGGAGCAATTCAGGGATGGGTGACTTCCTGGGAAGTTTTTCTCGGAAGTGTGCGAGTGAGGACAAAGCACGCTGAAAAGTCTCGTGTTAGTGTGTGGGGATAGTCGTTGATGCTTGCAAGTGCCGGGCGTTACATCATGGAGCGGATTTCAGAATTGGAAACTCGTAATAACCTGCAACGGTAGCAGGACTTTCGGGCAATACAGGAGGAAAGTAATAGGGGAATGCAAGACTTGGAACAACGCTTAACACAACTGACTGGACCGGGAGCAACAGAAACTGAAGGCCAGCCTGCCAATGGCCGAGAAGGAACTCGAAACCTAATCCTGCCAAACCAGGTTCTTGAAGTGGAAAATCAAGAAAGGCCCAACCTGGCGAATGCAGCAAACCCAAACCCAGGGAACCGGGTTGCCGAGGGCCAAAATGCTCAAAACCATCTGGCACAGGCCAATGGCCAGGAGGACTGGAATAGGACTCATCATGACCAGAATGCTCAGGTTGTCCGAGGACGTGTGGAACCCGGCGGATACAGAAGGAAGTACAGTAGGGGGAAGTACAACAACAACCCTTTTACTGATAAAATACTGAACCCTCCCTTCCCGGAGGACTTTGACTCGGCACGTCTGCCAAAGTACGATGGGAGTCAAGAACTCTATGCCCTTTTATCTTTTTCTTTTTCTTTTCTGATTAAAAATAATAATAATAATAATAATAATAATAATTATGATGATGATTATAATTGTGATCTTCATTATGATTGTGATTTGGATATGTAAGGAATTAATGGAAATGAAAAGGATTTAAAACTATTGTTTAAAAAAAATTCTTATAAAGTGATTTGGATTTGAAACTATTTCAACATTTATGAGGAATATTACTTCATTCATGATTTAAAATTGATGTTTTATTTTAGCTTTAATGATATTGTTACATTCAAATTTATGATATAAGGATACCGTTATTAGAAGATGGAAAAAGTGTTTATCCTTTTAAATGACACAACTTATATCCTTTCACTCTCACAAAGAGGTGGGACCCACACCTTTATTTTTTTGTCAACTCTCTCTCCTTCTTTATCTATCTCTTTCTCTCTCTTAAAATGAGACACACTTTACCCTTAGAATATTTCAAATATTATTGTACTCAAATATTATTGTACTAAATATTGTCTTATTTATACATGTTATACGCATTGTGTACAAAATAGAATTTATTTTAACCTTCGTTTCCTTTTATATTAGACAGCATCATGTCAAATCTTGGAAAACTTGAAAAATTATTGCACTTGATATAACGGGCAAAAATTATTTGGCTTGGCTCCTTGATGCTAAAATCCACCTTGATGATAAAAGTCTTGGGGATACAATTATGAAAGAAAAGAAAACATCCAATCAAGATAAGGAAAAGGCCATGATTTTCCTTTGTCATTATCTCCATGAAGGATTAAAGGCTGAATGTTTGATTGTGAAAGATCCACTTGAATTGTGAAATAATTTAAAAAAAAGGTACGACCATCAAAAGACAGTTATTTTGCCTAAAGCTCGCTATGATTGGAAGCATTTGAGATTGCAAGATTTCAAATATGTAAGTGAGTATAATTCTGCAATTTTTAAAATTAGTTCTCAGTTAAAGTTATGTGGAGAAAATATTACTACTGATGAGGACTTCTTGGAAAAAAACATTTTCCACTTTGATCGCTTCACATTTTCCACTTTGATCGCTTCAAATGTGTTATTGCAACAACAATATCATGATTAGGGCTTTAAGAAATATTCTGAATTGATATCATGTCTTCTTGTGGCTCAA